TGTAGTAGTTTCATAGTTTGCGGTGTTAGATTTAAGTCTTTAATTTTGATTTTTTTTATATGGCGAGAGATAGGGGTTTAGTTTCATTCTTCTGCATATGGATATCCAGTTTTCTCAGAACCATTTATTGAAGAGACTATCCTTTCTCTGATGTATGTTCTTGGCACTTTTATAAAAAATGAGTTCACTGTAGATGTATGAATTTGTTTCTGGGTTCTCTATTTTGTTCCACTGGTCTATGTGTCTGTTTTTATGCTAGTACCATGCTGTTTTGGCTACTATAATTTTGTAGTATAAGTTAAAGTCAGGAAACACATTAGTGTTTCTTCCAGTTATGTTCTTTTTACTCAGGATGGCTTTGGCTATTGTGAGTTTTTTGTGGTTCCATATAAATTTTAGGATTGTTTTTCTATTTCTGTGAAGAACATCATTGTTACTTTGATAGGGATTGCATTGAATCTGTAGATTACTTCGGATGGTATGGACATTTTAACAATATTGATTCTTTCAATCCCTGAACATGGAATATCTTTTCATTTTTTGATGTCCTCTTCAATTTCTTTCATCAATGTTTTATAGTTTTCATTATGGAGATCTTTCACATTTTTAAGTTAATTCCTAAGTATTTTATTTTATCTGTAGCTATTGTAAATGGGATTGCTCTCTTGATTTCCTTTTCAGATTGTTTGTTGTTGGCATATATAAATACCACTGATTTTTGTATGTTAATTTTGTATCCTGCAACTTTACTGAATTTGTCAGTTCTAATAGTTTTTGGTGTATTCTTTAGGTTTCTCCAAGTATAAGATTATGTAATCTGCAAACAAGGATAATTTGACTTTCTTTTTTCTAATTTTGATGTCCTTTATTTCTTACCCTTATCTGAGTACTCTAACTAGGACTTCCATTGCCATGTTCAATAACAGTGGTGAAAGTGGGCATCCTTGTCATGTTTCAGATCCTAGAGGAAAGGCTTTCAGTTTTTTCCCATTCAATGTGATACTAGCTGTGGAGCTCTCATATATGGTTTTTATTGTGATGAGGTAAGTTCCTTCTATACCCAGGCATTTGATAGTTTTTGTCATGAAGGAATGTTGAATTTTATCAAATGTGTTTCAGCATCAATTGAAAGGATTATGTTTTTTTCTCTTTATTCTGTTGATATGATGTGTCACATTGATTGATCTGCATGTGTTGAACCATCCTTGCATCCTTGCATTAAGTCCCTCTTGGTTATGATGAATGATCTTTTTGATGTGTTGTTGAATTCAGTTTGGTAGTATTTCGTTGAGGATTTTGCATCAATGTTCAACAGTGATATTGGCCTATGTTTTTTTCTTTTTTATATATGTCCTTTTCTGGTTTTTGTATGAGGGTAATCCTGGCCACAAGGAATACATTTGAAACTATTCCCTCTCCCTCTAGTTTTCAGAGGTGTTTGAGAAGGATTAGTAATAATTCTCCTTAAATGCATGGTAAAGTTCAGCAGTGAAGCCATCGCATCCCAGAATTTCTTTTGCTGGGAGTCTTTCTAGTTGCAGCTTTGATCTCATTACTTGTTCTTGGTTTGTTTAGGTTTTGGATTTCTTTATGGTTCAATCTTGGTAGATTATATGTATCTAGGAATTTATCCATTTCTTCTAGGTTTTCCAATGTATTGGCATATAATTATTTGTAATAGTCTCTAATTATGCTTTGAATTTCTGTGATATTGATTGTAATGTCTCCATTTTATCTCTGATTTTATTTATTGGGTCTCTCTTTTTTTAGTTAGCCTGGCTAAAGGTTTTTTCCCATTTATCTCCTTCCTCCTCCTCTTCTTCTTCTTCTTCTTCTTCTTCTTCTTCTTCTTCTTCTTCTTCTTCTTCTTCTTCTTCTTCGTCATTTATTTATTTATTTATTTATTTTATTTATTTTTTGAGATAGGGTCTCCCTCTGTTGCCCAGGCTGTAGTGCAGTGGCATGATCATAGCTCACTTACAGCTTCCACCTCTTGGGCTCAAGTGATCCTTCAACCTCAACCTTCTGCATAGCTAAAACAACAACTGCATGAGATCACACCCAGCTAATTCTTTGCCTTTTTGTAGAGATGAGGTCTCACTGTGTTGCCAAGACTGGTTTCAAACTCCTGGACCCAAGTGATCCTCCCACGTTGGCCTCCCAAAGTGCTAAAATTACATGCATGAGCCACCATGCCAGGCCTGATTTTGTTTATCTTTAAAATAAAGGCTAACTTTTAAGTTTTTGATCCTTGTGTTGTTTTCTTTATTTCAAATTCATTTATTTCTGCTTTGATCTTTGTTATTTCTTTTCTTCTACAAACTTTGGGTTGGGTTTGCTTTTGCTTTTGTAGTTCTTTAAGATGCATTGTTAGGTTATTTATTTGAAGTTTTTTTACTTTTTGGATGTGGGTGCTTATAGCTATAAACTTTTCTCTTAGTACTGCTTTTGCTATATCCCATAGGCTTTGGTATGTTGTGTTTTCATTATCATTTGGTTCAAAAAATTTTTCAGTTTCCTTCTTAAGGTCTTCTGTGACCCACAATCAGGAGCACACCATTTAATTTCCACGTGTTTTCAAAGTTCCTTGTGTTATTGATTGCTAGTTTTATTCCATTGTGGTCAGAGAATATACTTGATATAATTTCAATTTTTTTGAATTTTTAAAAACTTTTTCTTGTGACCTAGCATATAGTCTATCCTTGGTAATGATCCATGTGCTAAGGAGAAGAATATATTCTTCAGATGTTGGAGAAAGTGTTCTGTAAATATCCATTAAAACTATTTGGTTTATAGTGTGGATTAAGTCTGATGTTTCTTTGTTGATTTGCTGTCTGGATGATCTGTTCAATGCTAGAAGTGGGGTGTTGAAGTCTCCAGCCATTATTTTATTGATGTGTATCTCTCTAACTCTGACAATATTGCCTTATGTATCTGGGTACTCCACTGTGGGTACGTATATATTTACAATTGTTATATCCCCTTTCTGAATTGACCTCTTCATCATTGTATATTATAATAACCTTTTATGTCTCTTTCTATAGTTTTTGTCTTGAAACCTATTTTGTCATATGTAAGTATAGCTACTCCTGCTCTTGTTTTGGCTTCCATTTGCATTGATTATCTTTTTCCATCTCTTTATTTTCAGTCTATTTGTGTCTTAATAGGTCAGGTGTATTTCTTGTAGGCAGCAGATCACTGGGTCTTGCTTTTCTTTTTTAATCCATTCAGCCACTCTGTGTCTTCTGATTTCAGAGTTTAGTTCATTTACATTCAATGTTATTATTGATAAATAAGGACTTACTCCTGCCATTTTAAAATTTGTTTTTTGGTTGTTTTATGGTCTTCTCTTCCTTCTTTTCTTCCTTTCCATCTTCTTTTTAGTGGATGTGATATTCTCTGGTGATATGATTTAATTTCTTGCTTTTTATTTTTTTGTGTGTGTATCTGTTGTATATTTTTTTATTTGAAGTTACCATGAGGCTTATAAATAGCTCATTATTATAAACTGATGACAACTAAACATTGATTGCATACATGAACAAGCATATAGGAGACTAATAAAAATTCTGCATTTTAATTCATCCTTCTGTTTTTAACTTTCTGTTGTTTCTATTTATATTTTATTTGTACTTATATGTCTTGAAATTTGTTGTAGTTATTTTTGACCAGTTTATCTGTTAGCGTTACTAGTCAAAATATGAGTAGTTTACACACCACAATTATGGCATTATAATGAGTATTAGACCTTCAGATGATTTCTTATCACTCACCAATAGCCTTTTCTTTCAGATTGAAAAATGCCCTTTAACATTTCTTGTAGGACAGGTCTGATGCTGATGAAATCCCTCAGCTTTTATTTGTCTGGGAAAGTCTTTGCTTCTGCTTTATGTTTGAAGGATATTTTTGCTGGATATACAATTCTAAGATAAAAGTTGTTTTTCTGCAGCACTTTAAATATGTCATGCCACTCTCTCCTGGACTGTAAGGTTTCCACTGAGAAGTCTGTTGATAGATGTATTGAAGATCCATTGTATGTTATTTGTTACTTTTCTCTTGGTGCTTTTAGGCTCCTTTCTTTATCCTTGACCTTTCGGAGTTTAATTATTAAATGTCTTGAGGTAGTCTTATTTGGGTTAAATCTGCTTGGTGTTTGATAAACTTCTTGTACTAGGACATTGATATCTTTCTCTAGATTTATGAAGTTCTCTTTTACTATCCCAGTGAATAAACATCCTACTACCCCCTCCTCTTTAAGGCTAATAACTCTTAGGTTTGCCTTTTTGAGGCTATTTTCGAGGATCTCATATGCATGCTTCATTCTTTCATAATTCTTTTTTCTTTGGTCTCCTCTGTGTATTTTCAAATAGCCTGTCTTCAAGCTCACTAATTCTTTCTTCTGCTTGATCAATTCTGCTATTAAGAGACTCTGATGCATTCTTCATTATGTCGATTGCATTTTTCAGCTCCAGAATTTCTGTTTGATTCTTTGTAATTATTTCATTCTCTTGGTTAAATCTATCTGATGGGATTATGCATTTCTTCTGTGTGTTACACTGAATTTCATTGCATTTTCTCCATATGGCTGTTCTGGATTCTCTGAAAGGTCACATGTGTTTGTTTCTCCAGTATTGGTCTCTGGTACCTTTTTTAGTTTGTTTGGTGAAGTCGTGGTCTTGATAGTCTTGATGCTTGTGGATGTTTGTTGGTGTCTGGGCATTGAAGAGTTAGGTATTTATTGTAGTCTTCACAGTCTGAACTTGTTTGTATCCATTCTTTTTGGGAAGGCTTTCCAGGCACTGAAGAGACTTGGGTGTTATAGAAGTTTTTGGTCACTGCAGCTATAGCTGCATTATGAGATACTCCAAGCCCAGTAACACTGTGGCTCTTGCAGACTTGTACCAAGGTACTACCTTGGTGGTCTTGGATAAGATCTGGAAGAATTCCCCGGATTACCAGGCAGAGACTCTTATTCTTTTCCCTTTATTTCTCTCAAACAGAGTCCCTTTGTTTATGCTGAGCTGTCTGGATCTGGGGGAGGAGTTACACAGAACAGAAGCACAGAATCCAGCACAGCACTGGGTCTCCCTCAAGGCCCACAGTAACCAGTGCCTGGCGACTTCCTATGAAAGCTCAAGGCCCTAGGGCTCTACAATCAGCAAGTGGTGAATCCAGCCAGGCTTGTGTCCTTGCTTTCAGAGTGGCAAGTTCCCATAGTTCCCAGGTAGGTTCACAGATGCCATCTGGGAGCCGGGTCCTTGAGAGGGAAACCTTAGGAATCTACCTGGTGCTCCATTCTACTGCTTCTGATCTAGCCCCCAAGCCACAAGACAAAATCCTTTCCTTCTTTCCTCCCCATTTTACAAGTAGAGGAATCTCTCCCAAAGGCTACCACCACCCCAGTCACATGGCCAGAGTTGTCTGGCAACTACTGATGTTCATTCAAGGCTCAAGAGGTTTTTAGTCGGCTTGTGGTGATTGCTGCAAGGCCTGGGTCTGTCCTTTCAGAGCAGTGGGCTTCCCTCTGGCCCATGGCAAGTCCAGAAATACTGTGTAAGAGCCAAGGCCTGGAATTGGGGACCCCAACAGCCCAGTTGGTGCTCTACCCCACTGTGGCTGAGCTGACACCAAGGTAAATTTTGATTCCTATGAAAGTGCTTTTCATGTGAATAGTTCAATTTAGTGTTCCTGAAGGGAGGACAACTGATGAAGGCTTTTATTCAGCTGTCTTGATCCAAAGTATTTTTTTAAAAATTAAAAAATTTTTTAAGAAAAGGTCTTATTATGTTCATCTTTGAACTTTATTGATGTAGGTGTTTATTGCTATAAACTTCTCTCAACACAGCTTTTGATGTATCCCATAAGTTTTAATATGTTGTGTTTCCATTTTCATTTGTTTCAAGAAATTTTTTTAAATTTTCTTCTTAATTTCTTCATTGACCCAATGATCATTCAGGAGCATGTTGTTTAATTTCTATGTATTTATAGTTTCCCATCTTCCGCTTGTTATTGATTTCTAGTTTTATTCCATTTTGGTCTGAGAAAATACTCAATATGATTTTATATTTAAAAAAATTTTTGAGACTTTTTTGTGGCCTAAAATATGGTTTGTCCTGGAGAATGTTCCATGTACTGGGGAGAAGAATGTATATTCTGAAGCTATCAGATTAAATGTTCTGTATATTTCTATCGGGTCCATTTGGTCTAAAGTGTAGTGTGAGTCCCTGGTTTATTGTTATTTTCTGTCTAGATGATCTAATGCTTAGAATGGGGTGTTGAGGTCTCCAGCTATTATTGTATTGGAGTCTATTTCTCCCTTTACATCTAATAATATTTGCTATATATCTGGTGTGCTTGAGTGTTGAGTGCATCGTGGGGTGCAATTTTAAATTGTTATATCCTTTTGTGGAACCGATCCATTGAAGAATAGTATTTTCAACAAATAGTACTGGGACAACTGAATATTCACATGCAAAAGAATGAAGCTAGACCCTTACCTCACACCACACACAAAAATTAACTCAAAATTGATCATAGACCAAATGTAAGAGGTAAAGCTTTAAAAAAAAATCTCAGAATAAAACAAAGGAGCAAGTCCTTTTAACCTTGCATAAGCAAAAATTTCATAGATATAACAGCAAAAGCACAAGCAACAAAAGAAAATTTAGATAAATGGTGATGTATCAAAATTAAAACTTTACTGCTTTAAAGGACAATATCAAGAAAGTAAAAGGACAGCCTCCACAGAATGGGAGAATAGTCTTGCAAATCATATATTCAATAAGAAAGTCTTTAGAACCAAGAATATATAATTAACTATCACAATTCAACTATAAAAGGATAAATAGCTCCATTTAAAAATGGGAAAGGATTTGAATAGATATTTCTACAAAAATATATACAAAAAATAACATCCAATATAGCACAATGAATTACTCATTAGGGAAATACAAATCAAAACTGTTAGATAACACTTCATATCCACTAGGATGGCTATAATAAAAAGATGGATAATAACAAGTGTTGATGAGGATAGAGAAGCTAGAACCCTCATATATTCTGGTGGGAATGTAAAATAATGCAGCTGCTTTCAAAAACAGTGGAAGTGCCTCAAAAAGCTCGACATAACAGTTACCATATAATCCATCAATTCTAATCCTAGATATATACCCACGAAAATTGGATGTTCATTCAAAAACTTGTACACAAATGCTCATAGCAATATTGTTGACAATAACAAAATATGGAGACAACCCAAATGTCCATCAATTGATGAATGGATAAATGCTATGTGATTATATTCATATAATGGAATAGCATTTGGTGACAAAAAGGAATGAAGTATTGATATATGCCATGAACCTTAAAAACTTTATGCTAACTGAAAAAAAAACCAGACACAAAGGTTACATATTATATTATTTCATTTGTATGAAATATCCGGATTAGGCAACTTCATAGAAATAGAAAGTAGATTAGGGATTGTCTGGCTCGGGGAAAGGGAGAATGAGGAGTGACTGCTTATGTGTCTGAGCTTTCTTTTTAGAGTAATGAAAATATTCTGTAAGTAGATAATGGTGAAGGTTGCACAAGTCTGTGAATATTAAAAACCATTGCATGATATGCTTCAAAAGTTTTAGCCTTGTGGAATGTGAATATCTCAACAAAGCTATTATTAAAATAAAAATAAAATTTAACCCGGCATCAGGGTATAAACCAATTGGGGTGGATGAAGAAAGCAGAATAGCCAAGTTAATAGATTATTAATTGACAAGGGCTTAAGCTCAGTGTTAGTGATGCCAATGGGGACAAATGCAAGAACCATAACCAAAGTTAGACTTCAGAATGTAGCAACTCCAATTGCAAGAGAAGTGAGAAAGGGAAGAATCAATAGGCTTTGCTCCTGGGTAACTCAGAGAATGGCTGTGCCATGAAGGAGTGAGAAGCTGTCAGGGGTGAAGGGGGTCAATGTGATGTCCAATATAGCACAATGAATTACTCATTAGGGGAATACAAATCAAAACTGTTAGATCTGAGTGGAATGTGAAACAGAGTAAAAAAGAGATGGCTAAAAACCACTGACTGCCTTTACTTAATATAACAGATAACTTTTTTTCAAGAGAGGGTCTCTCTCTGTCACCCAGGCTGGAGGGCAGTGGCATCATCTCTGCTCACTGCAGCCTCTGCCTCCCTGGTTCAAGCAATTCTCCTCCCTCAGCTTCCAGGGTAGCTGGAATTACAGGCATGCATAATGACATCCAACTAATTTTTGTGTTTTTAGTAGAGATGGGGTTTTACCATGTTGGCCAGACTGGTCTCCAACCCCTGGCCTCAAGTGATTCACCCACCTCACCCTCCCAAAATGCTGAGATTACAGACATGAGCCACCATACACAGCCAACAGCTAACTTTTATATAGAACTTGCTGTGTGTCAGATAGCATCCTAAGCACTTGACATGTATTAATTCAGTTAACCCCTACAATGACTCTATGAGGTACAGACTATAAATATCTCCATTTTAAAAGAGCAGAAAATGAGGCTCCGAGAGGTGAAATAATTGCCCAATATTGAGCACGAACTTATCCTGTAACTTCTATACTCTATACCGCCTTTTTAAGTAACAAAAAGGCACCCATCATTTATAGGTAATATTCATCTCCTCAATTCACAGTTATTATTGATTAACCATTTGTTTACAAAAGTGCAAATTATCATGGAGTATTTTAGTCTTAATTTGCATAACTTTATTTGGGAATCTATCTGAGAATAAACCAGACACCTTAGTAGCAAATACACTTGCTGTCACTGAAGTTTGACACTTCAGGAAGATGTGGAAGGCAAGTTTCAGAAGGATTCAGGTATTAGCCAAGGGTAGAGCTGATGTCTTCTCATATACCCTCAGAGATATTTTCATTCTCTGTGAAAGAAATTCTGCCCTGTTGATCTCTCTGACTTCTGTAACATTTTTCTGGAGAGCTTGAGATTTTATTTCTACTAGGTATTATGAGTTTTGTAGCTAACTTTCTGGAATGATTTTTAAAGCTTAATTTGCAAAAGTAATGTTTCCTTTACTTCTAATGGTTAGTGTATTCCACTAATATTTATAATGACTTACTTCTATCACCCACTATGAGATAATTATATTTCCTTTACTTCCTTTTTCAAAAGGAGATTACAATGTCTCTGTATATTCCTATGAATGAAGGCTGTTGGAAAAATGAATCATGCACAGGATACTGACCCTTGCATGGCTGCATAAAAGAGTGCCTCAGTTCTGAAACATTTTCCTACATAGAGATAAGGAGCCCTCACAGCCTGTGCTGGGCATATCGTCTTGTTTGGGAGTATCATTTTCTGCTCCAGGTTCAATGTATACTTTTTCTTCTGTGTAAAGTGTGTGCATCCTATGACACCTGGTCAATCGCACTGCTATTTCTGTTTCTTCCAGAGGAAGAAATAGAGTCCTTCACCTATAGCACAAGAGGGGCCCATGCAGACCATCTTCCTATATTGGCTGTATGACAAGACCTGCTCTTCATGGCACCTGTTTGAAGCCGAACTTGCTCTGCTTCTTCTCTATGAGAGGAGAGCGTTGTTCCATTCAGCACCTGTGTGAATCCTGTCTTTCTTGGTGATGCTTTCTTGGTGACTTGATGCAGTGAGGTGACATCCTGGGACTGCTGCTCCTGGTGGTAGGCATTGTCATGCTCTTTGCTGTCCTCCCTGCAGTGGACTCCTCCCCTAGAGGTGGTAAGAGGTGTCATTTGCTTGACAAGGACCAAAATGCCACCTATCTGAAGAGGCCAGAGACCAAATACTGGGACTGTTAGGTTAATACCAAACTTCAAGAGCTAAAAATCAAAATTCAGCGATATTATTTTTAAAATATAGATAAGCAAAAAGGAAAAACTATTTGTAATCCTGCCACTAAAACACACCTACTAATAGGATTTTGAGGCATATCTTTCTAGTTTTTTTCTTCTTTTTAAATATATATATATTTAATATTTATATAAATATATATAAATATAAATATAAAATAAATATATATATATTTAAAAAGAATAGTTCTAGATTTACAAAAAGGTTGCAAATATAGGATAAAGATTTCCATATACCTTATACCCAGTTTTTCCTATTTTAACATTTTATGTTAGTATGGCATATATGTTACAATTAATGAATTGATATTAATACATAATTAATAACTAACATTTTATTCATATGTCTTTAGTTTTTACCCGATGTCCTTTCTGTGTTCCACAATCCCATCAGGATGCCACATTACCTTTAGCTGTCATGCCTCCTAAGGCCATTCTTGACTGTGACAGTTTCTAATACTTGGCTTGTTTTTGATGACCTTGATAGTTCTGAGGAGTACTGGTCAGGAATTTTGTAGAATGTCTTTTAATTGGGATTTGTCTGATATTTTTGTCATGATTAGACTGAGGTTATGTGTTTTTGGAAGGAAGACCACAAAGTCACAAAGGTAAAATGCAATGCTGATCACATTGTATCAAGGACAACATACTATACACATGACTTATTACTGTTTAAGTTAACCTTGATCACCTGGATGAGGTAGTGTTTGTTAGATTTCTTCACTGTGAAGTTACTCCTATCCCACACTATACTGTACTCTTTGGAAGAAAAGTCACTATGTACAGCTCAAACTTATGGAATGGGGAGTTATGCTCTACCACCTTGAGGATGAAGTATCTATATACATTATTTGAGATTCTTTTGCACAGGAGATTTGTCTCCTCCATTTATTTATTTATTTATTTAGTCATTTATTTACATCAGTATGCACTCATGGGTATAGATTTTATACCTCGGGTTGTAATCTAATACTATTTTACTTGTTTTCTTGCTCAAATTGTCCCAACTTTTGCCATTGAGAGCTCTTTCGATTGGCTGTTGTATGCTTACCCTTTGAAATACCACTATAATGTGGGTTTGTTTCGGGGGATTTTTTTTGGAGTAATTTTTTACTTTCTGGTATTGCATTTACTCATCTTCAGTGGGTCATATTCATGACCCCAGGCCTAGAATTGGCCATTTCTTTAATGAGCTTTTGTCTTTTAATGAAACAATGACATTAGAAAGCAAGATCTGGGCACTAGGGATGTTTATTAATATGGGGGTGCCATTACTTCTAGGTCCTTTAAGCAGAAGAGAGCAAGAAAACATATATATGTATATATCAACTTGTGTGTGTGTGTGTATATATATAATATTTCTATATGTAACCATCTATACTTATTTTAAGCTAAAACATGAGTTCATACTGATTTCTCCAACTCTAATTCATTACCATAGTGATCATTCTAGCTTCCTCTTTTTGCTTGTCAAAAACCTCCCACTCCAGCAGTGAAAAACCTGGCTCCTACCATCTGCCATCCATTTACATATGCTTTAATCCCAGTATACATGTATAGCAGAATCAGAATTGTTAACCTGTATTCCCATGGAAACAACTTTATTAGCTGGAGTACAGTAGTTATATGTAATTTATTTTGCCTTTAGTCTTCCTGTATTCACTCACTTCTGAACTTACTTATTAGTACCTTTTCTCCCCTACCCATTTTGCTGAAATTGTTTCATACATTTGTAGTAAGTTAAATTCTTTTGTCACATTCTGCATTCCAGGATCACATGCTAAGATCCCCTGAACTCCTAAATGCCTTTTTAAAATTTTTCAACCATTGAGGTTCACTCTTTGTGTTGTAAAGTTCCATGGGTTTTGTCAAATATATGAAGAGATGTACCTGCCATTACAGCATCATACAGAATAGTTTCACTGCCTTAAAAATACTGTGCTTCACCTTTTCAACCCCCATTCCTCTCCTTGAAACCTGTTAACTATTCTAAAATTGTTTTGCCTTTTTCAGAATGTCATATAATTGGCATCATACAGTATGTAGCCTGTTCAGACTTACTTTTTTCACTTAGCAATATGTGTTTAAGATTTATTCGTGTCTTATTATGGCTTGATAGCTCACTTCTTTTTGTCACTGAATAATACTCTACATTTTACCATTGAATAATTGTACTACTGTTTATTCATTCATTTGTTGAAGGACAAATTGGTCGCTTTCAATTTTCAATTTAAACTTGCTAGAAACATTCACATGTAGGTTTTTGTGTGAATATAAGTTTTAAAATCTTTTGAGTATGTACCTTGGAGTGCAATTGCTGGATTATATGGAATGACTATGTTTAGCCTTGTAAGAAACTGCCAAACTCGGCCAGATGTGATGCCTCATACCTGTAATCCCAGCACTTTGGAAGGTTGAGGTAGGAGGGTCACTTGAAGCCAGGAGTTCCAGACCAGCCTGGGCAACAAAGAGAGACCTCATCTCTACAAAAAATTTAAAACTTAACCAAGCATGGTGATGTGTGCACCTGTGTTCCCCGCTACTCAAGAGTCTGAGGTGGGAGAACTGCTTGAGCACAGGAGCTTGAGGCTACAGTAAACGATGATTGGTCGTGCCACTCCACTCCAGCCTGTCTGTTAAAAATAATTAAAATTTAAAAAATTAGAAACTGCCAAACCCTGATTCAGTACCATAGTTATCATTCTAGCTTCCTCTCCTTTCTGCTTCTAAATGATCATCCCGTTTTGTATTCCCATCAGTAATGAATGAGAGTTTTTGCTGCTCCACAGCCTCAACAGCAATTAACGTGATTAGCCTTTTGGATGTTGGCCATTCTAACAACTGTATAGTTGTATTTGTATTTCATTCTTTCTTTCTTTTTTTTTTGAGACAGGTTCTCACTCTGTTGCCCAGGTTGGAGTGCAATGGCACAATCTCAGCTTACTGCAATCTCCACCTCCCAGGTTCAAGTGATTCCCATGCCTCAGCGTCCAGAGGAACTACAGGTTCGTGTCACCACATCCGGCTAATTTTTGTATTTTTTGGTAGAGACAGGGTTTCACCATGTTTGTCAGGCTGGTCTTGAACTCCTGACCTCAAGTGATCTGCCCACCTTGGCCTCCCAAAGTGCTGGGATTACAGGCATGAGCCACCACACCTGGCCATTCATTGTTATTTCAATTTGCAGTTCATGACAGCTAATGTTGAACATCTTTACATATGCTTTTTTTGCCATTTGTATATTTTGTTTGGTGAGGCATCTGTTGAAATCTTTTGCTCATGTTTTGGTGAGTTGTTTTCTTATCGTTGAGTTTTAAGACATCTTTGCATATTTTAGATACAAGTCCCTTATCAGATATGTTTTGCAAATATTTTCTTACTGTTTGTGGCTTATGCTTTGATTCTCATAACTGTCTTTGACAGAGCAGAATTTTTAAATTTTAATACAGTCCAACAATTATTTTTCTTTTATAGATTGTAATTTTGGTATTATATGTAAAAACTTATTGCCAAACTCAAAAATCACATAGATTTTCTTTCCAGTCTTTTTTATGCCTATATATTTTATCAACATGAGATTGTACTGCATATACTGCAGTACAACTTGCTTTTCATTCTTAATGACATATTGCAAACTTTTCTCACACTGTTAGATATTCTTCTAGAGCATCTTTTCATTAACTGCTTGGTATCTTCTTACATAGATGTACCAGTATTAAGTCAACCCTCTCATGTTGAATAATACATTTTTAGATTTACTGAATCATTATACACATTTCTGAAAAATTGTTTCGAATTAAAACTTATTGGATTAAATAAGGGGTTCTTAGTCTCTGAAGTGAAGAAACAATTATAGCCTTTCGTTTCTCCTTCCACAGATATTTAATGAATCTGGGCGGGGTATGAGGTTCATGAGAGGCTTACTCTATTAAAACCTGGGATTGCAGCAGTGAACTGGAGTTCCTGCCCTTAGGGAGGAGGTTCTGTTCTAGTAGAAGAGTCATAAAAAAACAAAACAATATGACTTTTGATAGTTATCATTGTAATAAGGAATACAAAGGAGGGTAAGGGGGTAGTGATGGAAGGTGTCTTGAGGCTTTAGGCAGGAAAGACAATGAACACATTAACGACAGGTAAATTGGAAGAGAAAAGTGTTAGAGGCTGAGAAATCTTGCTGAGATTTCTGAACTGCTACAGCAGGAGTAAAGAAAGGCAGAGCCAGAAGGTTAGAGAATATAGAGAGTGAATTTTCAAAATAGGAGCAATTCTGAGCAATGACAAGTGCCCCAGTGTGACTGGGGAAGGGATAGATGGAATGACAAAAGCTACAATCAGTGGAACTGTGATGAACCATTAGGTTAGGGTCCTGAATGGTCATCTGCATGAAGTCTCACAGGATGGCAGCGGAACTCAGAGTTGAGGAAAAATTCGAGCAGGTCAATGAACGGTTCAGAATGAGGTGGAGTCACTGGAGGTCAGAGCTGACGGAGATGAGTGGAGGAAGAAGTCATACAGCCGGCCAGGCGCAGTGGCTCATGACTGTAATCCCAGCACTTCCGGACGCCGAGGCGGGCGAATCACCTGAGGTCAGGGTCTGGAAACCCCGTCTCTACTAAAAAACAAACAAACAAACAAAAACAAATATTAGCCGGGCGTGATAGTGGGCGCCTGTAATCCCAGCTACTCGGGAGGCTGAGGCAGGAGAATTGCTTGAACCCGGGAGGCGGAGGTTGCAGTGAACCGAGACAGCGCCACAGCACTCCAGCCTGCGCAACAGAGGCTCCGTCTCAAAAAAAAAAAAAAAGACACATAGCCAAATGGCAGTGCCTTAAACGGAATGGGGATTTTTGTGCAATACAACAAAACCCAGCGGTCTGGAAGTGGCAAGTATGACTTTTTTTTTTAAATGCCGACTCCAATTCCCAACCCCTGGGCTCAGAGTAAGAAAATGAGCTAGAGCTGTCTCCTGAAGCCTGTCAATGGTAAGGAGCAGCCATCTTAGGCGAGGTGGGTTTTAACCAGGGCAGTGAGGCAGGGAAGGGGAAGGAGCTTTCTGTGAGGAGCTGAA